TCTACATTAGCATCATTGTTTTAATCTCCTTAATATGGAAAATTAGCTTCAAGTTTTTATATTATACGACAAATAAACTACAAGTTCTTGGTGAATTTTTGCATTTACAGGTTATGCTTCATTGATTTTCTTTTAATGTGCTCTCAATGTATACTGTAAAAGCAGGACTCACAATTATTTGAACTTCCAAGACTGAATGAAAAATTAGATTCTAGGGAGGGATAAGATTGCATTAATTCCAGATTCAATGGATATATTTTTTTACCCAATAGCAAATATTCTGGCCTTTAGAATATAGATTAATAATATCAGAAATGTTTAACATGAAAAGCCAGCACTAAAAGGACTTAGGAAATAGCTGTACAATGCTCTTTTATTCCTCATTTCAGACAAGTAGTATAAAGCTCAGAATGATAACAACTTCTTAAAAGTTGCAAGCTACTTAGAGCCAGAGCCAGATCTCCTAATCCAATGTTTAACATGCTGCTCTCAGTAACAGTTCAACTAGACAACCACTGGGGGTCTTCAGAGTAGAAATTTCAATACTTATGCATCTTTTGGGTATGTTTACAATCTCTCAGTGGTGCTTATTTCAGACTCAAAGGAATCCTGAGGGTTAGAACTACCTACAGTCATCAATTCCATCTGCACTCTTAACTACACACAGCCAGCAAATCATTGTTAAGGAGAAAACTATGAACTGTGAGTTTGCCAATGCTAATTGAACAGAAAGTAGTCAATTCAGATGAGATTTAGTCTTCACACTCATTCAGTCATGCTTGTATTTTACTCATTCAACCAACATTTACTGAGCAACTACTGGATGCTAAACAGTCTACTCTGTGCTTCTGGGAACAACAGAGGAAACACAGGTCAAATTCTGCACTCACAGAATTTACAATCAAGTAATTGAAGCAAAAGATATTTTTACAAGTGAATCAAATAATTTCAGTGTACCAGAGTGCTATTGAAGAAGCTAAGTTGGAGGGTAATAAGGGGAGTTTCTATTTGTAGCAATGTGACATAGACTGTGACCTCTATAATGAGAAAACGACAACCACATGAGAATCTGGACGAGTGTTCCAGGCAAAGGGAAAGACCATGCACAAGGTAACGATGTGGGAACAAATGTGGGATTTTGCAGCACCATAGTGCACAAGAAGCAGCAAGGGACAGAGATACATGCTGATAAAGGATTTGAATTATTTTGCCTAAGATGAGGAAGACAAATCATCAAGTAGGAAATGAGACTGAATACCCACTCTTGATTTTATTATATGTAGATAGAACAAACCTCTGTAATAGGAAAGCACAGCAATTCAAAATCAAGTGTAATATACTTATTCCAAATTCATATGGGAAATAAAGTTGTTCAGGTAAGTGCTAAAGTGTGTCTTTGCTAATAATAAGAAAAAAAAAAACAATAGTTAAGGCATTTTGACCACCTGGAACTCATAACTGCATTCTGTTGAAAGCCAAATGGGTCTATAAATATACAACTGTCTGGTTTATTTTCTAAAATCTGCTACATATTAAAGTTGAACCTAATCAAATGACAAAATGTTCTTTCAATTATATGCATTTATTTTGCATTAGTGAAATCTATTTATATAATACAGGCTTCATATTTGTTATATGTAAAAACAGCATATGTGTGTGTGTGTGTGTGTGTGTGTGTGTGTGTAGATAAATAGATAAATAATTTATTAGAGAATTAGGTATCCATATTAGGTTAAATGTCCATACATTTAAAAATAAAAACCATGGGTCACTTGAGATTGAAGGACATGCATCAAGCATATGAAATCCCAACTTTGCATCTAGCTGTCTGTGTTACCAAGTTTCTAATCCTCCTTGAATCTCATGTCTTTTCTCAAAAATATAGGTAAGTATGCTTTGGTATACTATGGGTGAGGAGGAAATGAACCAAGAATTTCTAAGTATCTAATGCAAAGAACAAACACAGTAAATTTCAGTGTTTTTACTCCTCCAATGTGTTTTTTGAATAAGAAAGTAGTAACTACAATATGAAAAATACAATTATACAGATTGCATTTGTCTCTTAATCAAAATTTCATAGTGCTGCTCACATAAGAGAGAAAGGTAAGACAAAGAAATGGTTTCTAAAGCTTTTTATATGTCAAATTCTAAATTAAGACCTTGTGTTTCTAATTGTTCTGCTGCCTAGAACCATCTTATTTTGACTGTTTTGCTTCTCTATAGTTTTCAGTGTGTTTCCTTCATCTCAGACACACACGTGCCCAAACACAGTAAATCACAGTTAATTGCATGTCTTAAATTAAAAGACAAAAATAATGCACAATTAATTGGGGGAAATTGTCAGTTGGCGAATGAGTCTCGCTCATTACACTCCCTGCACAGGATGTACGCCAAGTGAGCATTCCAAGCTAGAAGAATCAGCCCAAGACACCAAGGGGAGGGGCCTGGGCTCAACCCTCTGCAGAGCAGTCTGGGCGGAAGAACCAAATGCTTGTAGCACATACAGCTTTCACTACAAAGATGCTCAGTAAAGGATTGTGCCAATTAGAAGGAACTAGAATTCTCATTGATAAGGGATTGAAGATTGACTAGGTTGTGGGCAATAAGCATGACAATTCTGCCATTCTTAATAAGAAAATGTTCATGGCATATTCTTACATGAAAAAATGCTTGAAAAACAGTATTTCATTTTTTTAAGGATAGGTAATAAACACATGAGGCTGGAAATGAGAGGAGGAGTAGAAGGGGGAGGAGAAAGGCACTGGAAAATTCATAATTGTTAATATTGTCATTTCTGAGTTGTTCATACTTTCCAAATTTTCTAAAAAAATTGTTTAAAAATTAGATTCTAAGTTGTTTCTCAATCTAGTATTATAAAACATCAGTTTTTTATGTTTATATCAGTATATAATAATTATACATTACAGTGGGGTTCACTGACATTCATATATATACATAAAATAATTTGCTCCCATATACTCCTCAGTATTTTCCCCTCCCTCCCCTCACATCCCCATTTCCCTTCCTCTACAATTCTGGTCTTTATTCTACTAATTTGCACATATATTGTTTTTCATTGCTGCATTACAACTATACATAAAAGTGGAATTCAGTGTGGTATATTCATTTTATTCTCCAGTTCTTCCCCTTCTCCTCTCTTCCTCCCTCCCTCTTGATCTCCTACCTTTCTTATACTGATCTTCCTTCTGTTTTTGTCAAATCCCTCATTTTATTCCTTTTTTTCTCTCTAGCTTCTGTATATGAGGGAAAACATTTGTCCCTTAACTTTCTAAATGTGGCTTATTTCACTGAGCATGATGTTATTCAATTTTAAAGATTCATTAGAATCTTTTAAGACAAACTTACCTGGCTATTATAATATCATCATTTTAAAATTTAAAAATAATTTCCAATAAGCACATCCATACAATCCTATTGTATCCTTGGCTATACAGACAAACCAATTCTATGAAAATATATTTTAAAATTACACAAAAACATGTTCAATACAATTAAATGTCAATATAATAATTTATTACAATAAAGACCTTATAGTATATTGGCATGCCATAAAGAAATCACTGTAAGTTCCTTGTAATTTACTCACACTGACAAACCACAAAATATATTCACAGGAAAATTAATACCTCTGAATTTGAGGAAAAGTAAACCTTCTCACCCCAATGCATCTACCCTGCCATTATTTTCTACAGTATAGTAGACTTTATATCTAGCCACTTAGAATAATCTTGATGCTAAATCTAGAAACAACAACAACAAAAACACACACACACACAAATATACAAACACAGTTTCATCATTTTTTATCAAAGTGGGTAAATACAAAAAAGTTTTGTAATATATCACTAGTAATGGTGATTTTCCCTTTATTTCACTTTTGGAAGAAAAAAATACAAAAAGCCCAACAGAATACATTCATTCCAAAGTCATTCAACCATCTGCTAACCTTGAAATACAAAAATAATCATTTCCTGCCTTCTTTTATTTATTGGGGTTTGGACTGGGAAAAGATAATCATATATCATCAAAAGCCCATATCACATCATCAGGCATCTATGTCCCAAGGGTAATATTTTTATTCCATTCTTAATGGAACGATTTTCTAATCAGAATATGTATTCAAACATAATTGAGGTAATGCAATGTCAACACGTGATGCTGCCATCAAGCAACATTCCCCAGCGCTGGGAGTCAACTGAACAGAATGTCTGGTGGGAAACAGAGTCTGAGCAATGCAGCAATGTAAGCCTTGGCCAAAAAAAGGACACAAGAGTTCTGAACCCCTTCAGATGCTCAAAGCCATGTGTGGAGGAAAGTATCTAAGCTGGAAGAGGCCAATCTTAAAACTTCTTAGGAAGGACTGACTTATAATGGGCCCATTAGAATCCCAACTTTTAAATAGAAATGTGCCTACAATTATAATGTAAAAAATATTTGATACAAAAGTCATTTTTTGAAAGGTCAAGCTGTCCCTAGATTTCTAAGTTATAAATCCTTAGGTAGCATACATTATTGATTACTATATATCCTACAATTCCCTGAAATGGCTCATTTGACTTTAAATTTCTTAAATTTTGAAAAAATATTTGTAATTGATGAAGTTCAGTGATGAACTATCATATCCTTCTATTTTTGAGTATACTTGATATTATCATAATAAACAGTAAAAAAAAAAGATGTTCTTGAGTATATTTTATGCTCAACATTTTACTGCCATTTCCTTTGGAAACATATATTGAGATCTGATTCATGCTTATAGTTATTTAAGTAAGTCTCAATAAGCAGCCTAGATTTTTAAAAAAATCCATCCACCATTATGTTTTATGTTATATTAAAAAAGAAAAAAAAATCTTCTTTCCAGAAAAAAATTTACCATGCTCTATGATGACAGAAGTGTGCCCCTAACAAATGCAGTGCCACCATCTGCCTGGCACTTTCACCGTGTGACAAAATAGACTGGTAATTAACTGCTTTCCTACCGAAATCTGCCAGCTTCAACTCCCCCGTGTCACTGATCAGAAGATTCTGTGGTTTCAGGTCTCTGTGCAAAATATAACGCTGGTGGATGTAAGACAGCCCTCGCAGCAACTGAAATAAAAACAACTGAAAAAATAGGGAGACAAAAGTTAAAACCTGAATTCAGACAAATGCCAGTTTCTATATATAGTCTGACAAATACTTGAATTTAGTGAAAATGGATACCCATCACTAAATTTTCTACCAAATTATTAAATAGAATGTACCAGGATTAGAATGTAAATCCCTAATCCATTAAGAAATAAATCTGGAAATTGCTAACAACCTATTGTATCGGAGAGATCTGCATTCTCATCTATGCTCTATAAATTGAGCAAAATGTAAAAAAAAATCAATTCTTTACAATATTTTATTTCTCCAGGTCTAAAATGATGTCTAGGAGAGACATTCATAATATCATAACATATAAAAGAGTACTGTTTATGTAAATGTGTACATATTTAATTCCATAGAAATGACATAAACATGGCACCCATGGATTGACCCATTAACATGCTTTAAGGAAGAGAAAGATAAGATGACTTTAAATAATTAAAACAAAAACAGTCACATGGTCCAATTAATACTCTACTGTAATTATACTGCTCTTGCACATATGGCCATAGAGATTAGGTTATTGCCTAAAGACAGACATGTACCTTCACTAATTACAGAGCAGCCCTATCCTAATGGGGGAAGAAATAGAAAACAGAGACGTAAAGGATTCAAAGGCAACACTTGGGTGAAAAATAACTTAAATGATTAATGGCTTTCTCTGTGAAATTGCATCTTATCAAATGTCTACATTTTGATAACAAAATGTATGATGTTAGACTTCCCAGTATTCTGTTTATGAAAAAGAGATTATTGTAAAACTATGTACTTGCCAAATTATTCTAACTGACATGGTATTTAAAAAAAAAATTCCTAAAACAAAAATGAAAAACCAGTGTTCTTACTTCTGCCCACATAAACTTGACTACAAAGTTTATGGTGTGAGCCACCCCACTATAGGAACTGTGGCCAGAACTCAACACATGCAGACAATATGTTGATAAGTCTATATACTGGGTACTAACAAGCCAGTTTCAAGGAAGTTTTAAAGACAAAAAATAGTATAAGAATTCTGAAATACTCAAATGAAAAAGATTACCAAATCCTTG